CAAGCTCTTGTTCTGTCCAGGCTGGACTATTGCAATGCTGTCTTGGCAGGTCTTCCAGCCAGTTCTATCAAATCTCTACAACTAATTCAGAATGCGGCTGCAAGATTAGTCTTTAACGAGCCGCAAAGAATGCATGTCACACCTCTGTTCATCAATTTGCACTGGCTACCTTCCTTTTTTTTTAATTTTAATTAATTTTTTTATTTTATTTTATTCCGCAAGGATGCATTACATTGATCAAAAGTGACAGTTAACACATTTATAATATTACAAAATGTTTCTTTTTCAAATAAATGTTGTTCTTTTGAACCCTCTATTCATCACAAAATCCAGAAAAAATGTATCATGGTTGCCACAAAAATATGAAACCGCACAACTGTTTTCAACATTGATAATAATAATAAAAAATTAATGTTTCTTGAGCAGCAAATCGGCATATTAGAATGATTTCTGAAGATCATGTGACACTGAAGACTGGAGGAATGATGCTGAAAATTCATCTTAGCATCAATTAAATAAATTAAATTTTAAAATATATTCAAATAGATATTTTAAATAATATTTTGGTAATAATATTCCACAATATTGCTGTTTTACTCTATATTTCATTAAATAAATGCAGCCTTGGTGAGCAGAAGAGGCTTCTTTCAAAAACATTAATTTTGTTTATTCGGTAACGCTTTACAATAAGGTTAATTAGTTAACATTAGTTAACTACTTTAGTTAACATGAACTAAGAATGAACAACACTTCTACAGCATTTATTAATCTTAGTTAGTTAATTTCAACATTTACCAATGCATTATTAAAATCAAAAGTTGTGCTTGTTAAGATTAGTTAATGCACTGTGAACTAACATAAACAATGAACGACTGTATTTTCATTAACTAACATTACAAAATGTTTCTTTTTCAAATAAATGTTGTTCTTTTGAACCCTCTATTCATCACAAAATCCAGAAAAAATGTATCATGGTTGCCACAAAAATATGAAACCGCACAACTGTTTTCAACATTGATAATAATAATAAAAAATGAATGTTTCTTGAGCAGCAAATCGGCATATTAGAATGATTTCTGAAGGATCATGTGACACCGAAGACTGGAGTAATGATGCTGAAAATTCATCTTAGCATCAATTAAATAAATTAAATTTTAAAATATATTCAAATAGATATTTTAAATAATATTTTGGTAATAATATTCCACAATATTGCTGTTTTACTCTATATTTCATTAAATAAATGCAGCCTTGGTGAGCAGAAGAGGCTTCTTTCAAAAACATTAATTTTGTTTATTCGGTAACGCTTTACAATAAGGTTAATTAGTTAACATTAGTTAACTACTTTAGTTAACATGAACTAAGAATGAACAACAC